TATCAATTATGTTATGCTTTAAGTTGTTAACTTGAATGATTAAATGTTATTTCCGCTGCTATATGAATTACCCCTCAGTTATGTTTTTCTGATAATGTTATTATAAATATTTTTTCTAAAAGAACATGTGTTACATATCTGATTGAATGAGTAAGTGTTTGTGGAAAGTGTGATATTCCTAAATATGATTTTGTGGATAATTACTCTAATTTTATTTATATTACGCGGGGGATTATTTAGGGTGTTATAAACAACAAATATCATGCAATGGTATCCAAAAGGTAGTGTATGTGACTTAATTGGTTATTCTGACTCAGACTATGCATGTTGTAAAACATATCGATAAAGCACAAGCAACACATGTCATATTCTCGAAAACGCTCTCGTATCGTGGTCTTGCAAAAAGCAAGTACATGTGGCTCTTAGTATAGATGAAGCATAATATATTGCATCAAGAAGTTGTATTGCTAAAATCTTTTGGTTAAAGCAACAACTTTGTGACTATGACATGAATCTTGGATACATTTCGTTGAAGTGTGATAATACAAGTGCCATAAACATAACCAAGAATCCAGTCATACACCCAAGAATAAAATATATAGAAATTCGACATCACTTTCTTCGAGGTCGTGTCCTTAAGGGTGATGTTGAAGTGACATTTGTTGATACTCATAACCAACTAGCAGATATTTCCAAAAACCGCTTGCAAAAGAATCGCTCTTCAAAATTCGAAGAGAACTAGGCATATTGAAAGAGCGTGATGTGTAAGTATCAATATAAAGGTATTATACTACAGTCATACTTTAAGAATAGTAACTTTCAATCATTAAGGTACATGTTATATCATATAAAGGTTTATGTTAATTCACAATTCCATTTGTGAATTATTCTTTCTATTATGATTATTCTTATTTTATTATCATGTAGTATGATTTCTATGTTGCTTCTATACAATATTTATGTGTTAGAAATCTTGTATTTACTCTTACAATGCGTTAAAAATTTTAAGTGTTACAATTATGCAATCCCTGTTAAAAAAATTCAAAAATTTCCTGCATGTAACTGGTTACACAATTGTGTTAACCGGTTACCAGTTTGAAAATTTAGATTCTCTATTATAATCTTCTTTGTGGTGCGTATTGGTAACCAGTTATCAGGAACCTTGTAACTGATTACATTGTTCAAAAAAGCACTTTTATCTCTACAACTCCCAATAAATTCTCACTCATCAAAAGCTCATATAATTCTTTAATCATGTAATCAAAGCAGCAAAACCCTAACTTTTCCGTCCTCCCTCTCAAGCTCTTTGAATGCTCATACTAGAAGAGAGAAATACAAGGCAAAAGATGATAAAGGTTCCTCAAATAGAGGTCCAGATCCACTTAACCTTGGCAGATTGGTAGAAACTCCAAAGGAGAATATATTTTTGCTCATCTTCAAAAATTGTACTCTAACACCCCCAAAGTATGGTAATTTATCAACCTTTCCCTTTTTAAGTTTTGACTTTCTAGCATTGTTTCACTATCAATGATTGGGTGTTTTGATTGATGACTATGGATATATATATCCTGACTTAGTCAAGATTTTTTATTTAAATTTGTCTATTGGAGATGGTTAAATTGTTTCTTCTTCTGTCAAAGGAAAAGAGGTTTTTTTGAAAATGGATGAATTATGAAAGTGTCTAGAAGTTCCATCTGAAGGGGAAAGAATTTGTCATGGATACACTTATAATTGGACTGGTTATGGCAAACTCAACTATTATTTCACCATAAGCATATTAATGGAGCACAAAATGTACAACAAGAGAGCTCGCAACACTGCTTCCAATTGGCTTATTCTGTACTCCTCTAACTTGTCCGTTAGTGATATGATACTTCATTATTTCATAGCCTACATCCTTATGCCTAAGCATTCCAACCACTTACAAATAAATGGCACTGAGATGCAAGTCATTTATGCATTGAAAGATAGGTTGAAGATCAACTAGGCATATGTTATCATGTGTCATATGTACCATCAAATAGGTTTTAGTTGTGGACTCCCATATGCTAGGCTGATAACAAAACATTCTGGAGTATTGTAACATTGACTTAAAAGACGAACCACGGAAGAAAATGAGTGCAAAGGAATAGGAATGTGAAATATTCATCAGGGCATCAGGCAAAAACATGGCATTTTCAAAGACAAAGATGCACTTTTTAAGCATAGAGATGTGGCTCTCCCCTCTTCATCGGCTCCACCTATTCCCGAAGGCAACTACACTAATGAGGTTATCTACAACAAGACGCATGCTATAGAGACTCTTGTGACTAATGGTTTTTGTGATCTTTGAATTGAAATAGTGAAACTTAGAAACCAAAAGGAGGAAAGTGAGGATGGTGATGAAGAGATGGAAGAAGAAGAAAGTGACTAAAAAGCCATTATGTAACATTATGTTGTTTTTTTTGTTTTTCCTTATTATGTTTAAAACTATCATGTTATTATGTTGCTTCCATTCCCGTATCATTATGTTTTGTTTTTTATTGTGTAAGCCTAAGACATGTTATGTTTTTGTTATGCAAGCCTTGTTATGTTTTGTCATTGTGTTACGTTTTCCTTGTAAAGTTTCTATTTTTATTGTATGTACATCAATTTTCAAGTCTTTTCCCATCTTTTTGCTAATGACAAAAGGGGAGAAGATGTATGTGTATTTTGTGCTTGTTTCTCTAACATTTGCAACAACAACAAGTTTTCAAAATGCACACTCAAAGATAAAGGGGATCACTCATCAAGGGGGAGTTAACATTATTAGAGGGAAAAACTTATCGAACTTTCAACAGTTTGTCATCATCAAAATGGGGTAGATTGTGAAGTCAATCTTCTCCAACTATTTATTTTGATGAAGATGACTTAGAACATAATGCTTATAGTCAAATGATGGAAAAAACCTCATAGTCAAAGCTAAAGTATCAAGTCTTACATCTCATTCAAATTTTGCATCATGTGTAACCGGTTACATAAACACCTTTTGGTTAATCGGTTACATAAACAAATTTTGAATTCCAAGGCTTGTAGCATCAGGTGTAACTGGTTACATAAACGAAATTTTTTTAAATTTTTTGAAATGTTTTAGCTGTAACCGGTTACCGCTGAAGTAGTGTCACTTTTCATTCAAAATCTGATTCCAACGAATTTTTTATCGCATCCTTCAATCGTGGCATCTTTTCATGATTACATACTTGTTCAGAAGGATATTATACTAATATAAACACCTGTCATGCCAGATTTTCAACTGAGTGCTTTGGGTTGCAAACTTTTGATTGAAACTCTTTGCCCCAATGAATTGATCCATTTTGACAATTCTAATTGGATTCACCACAAACACATATCTAATTATTTTAATGATATGAAAAATAGATAATTAGATGTTAATCAATTATTTATGTGATTGTGTTTTAAAAATTAATTATTTTTTTATTTAAATTTTTAATAATTTGTGGTTGTAGTATACCAGTGTGTATTCTCCCACAAGATTAATTATTAAAGAGTAATTGATTCTTTCTTGAAATAAATATTCAAAAGTCATAATTCAAATATATATGCAACTATTTAGTTCCCTAATATTAGAAATAAAATTTAAAATACTAGTCATTACTACGTGAGTTTTGATAATAACAAAAAAAGTTAAAATTAGTTAAAAGCTATAGCTAGGTTATTATATAGATATTATGCAAAAATAAATAAGATGTTTTTTTGACTTTGTAATTATACTTATCCAGTGACTTTAAAAAAGAAAATAAACAAGATGTTTTTTTGACTTTGAAATTATACTTATCCAGTGACTTTAAAAAAGAAAATGATATGATTTGTTTTGTAAATAAACCTTTTCTAAATAATATTATTTGGTGAGATGTTAAATTTAGAAGTTCATTTTTATATGTTATACCTTAAAATAGTTATTGAGATGTAAATAAATTTAAATTTTATACGAAACATTTGAAATACTATTTATAAAAATAAATAAATAAAATATATTGTGCTAAAAATATCAGAAAAAAGAGCACATAATAAAAAACACAGGATATAAGGGTATGATCTATTGGTTTCACCTGCAATAATAATGATAATTATATAATTTTACTATCGACTAGTCGTTGTAGTATAGTGGTGAGTATTCCCGCCTGTCACGCGGGTGACCCGGGTTCGATCCCCGGCAACGGCGTGTTTTATTAATTTTTAGATTATTTTGTTTTACACTTATTTGGGCCGAATTGTTAATTATTTTGGGCCCAATTAACTGTTTCATTTCATTTCTTAAAAATAAACTACATGGCTTTTACACCCATACTGGGCCGAATTGTTATTTATTTTGGGCCCAATTAACTGTTCCATTTCATTTCTTAAAAATAAACTACAACATATGGCTCTACCCTCCACACTAAACATAATAATGTCTATTTAGAAAAATAAATCTTCCAAAAATGTTTTTTATTTACTTATTAAATATCATTATTTACAAACTCAAAATACATATAATTTGTTTGTACTGCTTTTGGTGTCTTTTATTATTGTAAATTTGTAATAATCAAATATTTATAAAATTCAACATTAGATAAAAGAAACTCATTGTATCTTTATGCTTTTAAATTTGAGTTTTATGAAAATTGCTAAAAAAAAATAGTAGTTGTTTTAAAACTAATGTTTTTATACATATTAAAAGAACCTTGGCTCATGAGGTACAAAATATTTAAACTTCAATTAATAATACTTCCTTCAAAATTTTAATTAATGAATATACATTACTAAAATTATAATATATATATTATTATTATTTCATTTGAGATGATTTCTTTGAAAAAGCGGCAAAGAGTTTGATTTTGGAATTTTGCTTTTGGCGCTACAGAGTTCCCCTCGTAACAAAATAAAGCAATCTCCATCTTCAAGTCTCAGTGGTAGAGGTAACTATTCAACTCTCAGAGTCGTTTAAACAAAACGCCAAGTCGTTTAACACACCATTTCAGATGCAATCAAAGCTCAACAAATTTTTCAAATCTTCCTCCGATTCCACACCTCTTCCCGCAGCCGCCACCGGCGACGGCGACGATGATTTGGCCAACTGGAACTGGGAGAACAACCAACACCCTATTATCAACACTTACACCCGAACTCGTCGGAACCCTAATCCAATTCCTTCACCTGCATCCGTAATCGAAAAACCAATAGTAGTCAAGAACAAGAAGAGAAGCTACGCTCAGTTCCATCTGGAGTTAGGTCAATCTGATTTCCTATTACGCGCGTGTTCCACTTGTCGTATTCAGTTCACTCCCGGAGATGTCGAAGACGAGAAATTACACGCTCAATTTCACAAACGCTATACGCAAGGAATCCAATTTAGGGTAACTAAATTGAAATTTCCCTTTTCTGATCTTTATTATTTGATTCCTGTAACCAATTTGGCCTATTCCTATTATTGATTATTTTTATTCTGTTTTTATTTAGGGTTGGAATAATGAAAGGATCATTTCTTCTGATAAAATTGGTCGAGTTATTTTGGTGTTGGATAATGATCCATCTTCTCACAGAAACAAGGTTATTTATTTATTTACTGCTTTTAAGTTTTAATATATATATGATTTGTTAAGTTTTGAAATGTTGAACGGGTTCTTGTGAAATCGTTGTTATGACAGGTTCAAGAAGTTGTGAAGATGATGGAAATTGAGATGGGAAGTGGATGGATAGCTCATCAACTCTGTAAGGTGGATACTATTTTACTTCACCTCAAAAACTTGCAGTTTAGATTTAGATTTTGGTACTGTTTAGATTAGCTTTTGAATCATATAAATGTGTCTTGTAGTCTCAATCACATTAGCTAAAATTGATTGTCTAGGTGTATACTTGATTTTAACATATTGGAATGTGCTTGAGTAGAATTGATTTTAACTTTGGAGCTTTTTTCTTCATAATTGAATTTTATTCTTAAATGTATTGTTCAACTTGGTGTTATATGAATATCCTCAACACTCTTAGCCATAGTCAATTTTAATCAATGCAAGACCGAACACATATTTAAGTTTCTAGATTAAAACAAGTTTATGATCATTAATTTATGGAAAAATGCCTTTAAACACGCACTTATATGGATTGGTATGGACTGATATGCACTGAACACGCCCTTATAAGTGATGGCAATCTTCACACACAACCCGGTTTTGTAGAGATGAGTTAGGTCTAACCACATTTATTAACATTTTTTAATATGTAAGAATAACATGTTAAGTTGTTTTATATATTATTGATGGCATGTTTTATATATTATTGATTTGCATGGTTGTACGTATACAGGTTTATTTGTTCATTTCTCTCCAAAGGATTGTTGGTTGCGTGGTTGCAGAACCAATCAAAGAAGCTTTTAGAGTAGCATCTTGCTCAGATGATAGTCATTCAGCTAGTGCAAGGAAAAGGGAGAAGAAGCTGCGTCCAACCACTCTTCAGTTCGGGAATATTGTTTTTCAAAGGGAAGTCGGAAAAAGTGTGGTGAATGTGAGTGATTCTGAGACGTTGGACGATAGGGCTTTCTCTTGTGAAAGCAAACCTGTTGCTGCTGTTTGTGGCATTAGAGCCATTTGGGTCACTCCCTCCAACAGAAGAAAACACATTGCTAGCCAATTGCTGGATACTGTGAGGTAAACAAAACTTAGGTTTTGCTGTTTCTCTTGGAAAACCAAATCATGCATGATGCAACCATAGGTCCCTGCAATATCTGAATAATACATAGATTTGAGATAGTCAATAACAACAACTAGATTCAACTGGTACACAAGCAATGGAGGATAGTGTTAAGTAACATCACATCTTTTAAGCATTTAATACTACTATTTTGAATTAGTGTTAATTGGTTAATTATTTGTTCAATTTCAGGCTTGTTGATTCTTTCTTTTTTTCTGCACTAAATTTATGGCAGGAAAAGTTTCTGCACGGACGAGCTTGAACGTGCTCAGCTAGCATTTTCTCTACCAACCTTGGTTGGGAAGGCATTCGCCTGTAGTTACTCTGGTACTAGATCATTCTTGGTGTATAAAGCAGTTTAAACAGCAAGTAAAACCAGATGTGGAAATCAAATGAAGAAGTGTAGATGACATGTTCTTCACTTTCTGTCAGAAAATGTTTAAGCCAAACATTTGTGCCAGTGGTGTAACGGGGGTTGAGTAAGAGATTTCATATGCACTTAAGGATGTATTTATGTTTTGTATCTTCAGTTATAGTATATGACATTTAACCATTAATGGTTGTTGATAATGAGCCACCATCAATAAGAATGCTCGTTAGTATTTGATTATTCCTCTGTAGTATGTCACACTGAGTTCTGTTTCAACATTCATTTGTTGAATTATTTAAGGTGGAAACAATTGACCATGTTTGCTTTTATTTCATGAAACATTATCCTCAAATGTGAAACAAACCGGTTGTACTAGAATAAGAATTGTGAATTAAACCATTTTTCAAACTATCTTTACCAAGTATTCTGAGAAGAAAATGTTGATTGTCTTAGTGTTATTTAGCTACTAAACAAACAATGTCTTCATTAGAAACACATTTGGTAAGACTGTCAAAACAATCACATACTTATGCAACAATTTAATTTTCTGCTGCCCAATTTAAAATTTCAATATAAACTGTATTTACACTAATACAACCTTGAGCGAACATATAATTTTTTAAAATTTCATTTAAATTTGTAATATTTATTATAAAATATGACAATAATGTAATTAATGGTGTTATACAAAACAAAAATTGTTTTTGTGAGAATGAAACATTTCCTATCATATTTGCATCCCATGATATTATTGGCATGTAGATCAGATTAGTATTTAAAAGAAGCTAATCAAAGACACATTCTCAAAGTCATCATCAACGTTAGATTAAAAAATTTGTCATCTATATTCTACAATTTCATAAGGTTCAATTTGCTTATTTTTACTGTTGAAGTTAATATATGCTATTGTGAATCTCATATTCATCTTTTCAATCATTTAAAGTTTGGATTTACAATTGATCTATCGTCCAATATATAAGAGATAAAAATTGGTTGAGTTCTAACAAACTTCTAATTAACTGCAGTCAACTTCTAGTTGTTATAATAACTTAATCAAACTAACAACTAACTATCATAACGAATAACTGTAGCTTTAGCTTTGAAATAAGAACAACTTATTGAACTAAGTATTAGACTAAAAGATTGGCAAAAGTAATACTTGTAATACTCTCCTTCAAATGCAAGGTGGTTGCAAATCAACTTTGAGCTTGACAAAGGCTGTAAAGCTTAAAGGCTTGGTGAATGTATCAATTATGTGAAGTAGGAACATGTTGTACAACCAACTTCTTGGAGCATACTCGTTATCTAACAAAATGAATGTCTATCTCAACGTGTTTCGTACGAGTGAACTCTTTCAATTCCATGAAACCGTACAAAATTAAATCGTTAAGATTGTTATAGTTTCAAGATTGGTAGAGGAGTAAAGTGCAATTAAATTTGTTGTGGCATATTACAAATGAGTACCTCAAGTGTGTAACTTGATCATTAGTAAATTAGTTGAAAAAATATGACTTTAGTTAGACGTAGTTACTGAGCATGGTTTGTTTTTTGCACTAAAATTAAGAGGTACAACTACCTACATGACATTTTTAGGCTGCACTGTAGGATAAGTCATTTGCAGCATAGGTTTGCATTAATTCAGGAAGTTAACAGCAGGCTGCATTGAAGCTTTTTAAAGTATTTCCTACAAATATATGTCATAGTTATTAGAATATTAATAGTAATTCATATTTATTTAGTTGTACTATTTTCTTAGCCCCTAAGTTTGTTAGAGGGTATTTTAGTATTTTATCTTATTCTAGTAACCCTAGTTTTAGCTCATAAATAGGGTGACAATCATTGTAACTTTTATCATGTTTTGTAGCCGTCATTCTTAATAGAATATTTCCTTTGTTCATCATTTATTCACCTTTGCACCAACAATTGGTATCTAGAGCTCCGGTTCAGATTCACTGGGAAACACGGGAAACACGAGTGAACGTGAGGTCTTGTGTGTTTGATTTTGATTCTTAGATTCGTGTTGAATCTTGAACAAAATCTGATCAGAATTTTAATTCTGTGGGTTGGGAAACACTGTGTGAGAAATCTGAGTGTATTGTGCAAGGTGAAGATGAACGGAAACGGCAACATGAACACCAAGCTTCCAGTATTTGACGGTAAAAACTGGAATCGTTGGATGATCCAAATGCGTGTACTGTTTGGTGCTCAAGATGTTTTAGATCTTGTCACTGATGGTTATGTTCCGGTAGCAGCAGATGCAACGGATGAACAGAAAAACGCGCAGAAGGAAGTAAGGAAGAAGGATCAAAAAGCATTATTCTTTTTTCATCAATGTGTTGATGTAAATGTGTTTGAGAAGATTGCAGATTCAACGACAGCAAAGGCTGCGTGGGACACACTGGTTAGATGTTATGGTGGTGACGCATCAGTGAAGAAGGTGAAGCTTCAGTCCTTGAGAAAGCAATATGAGAATCTCAATATGAAGAATAATGAGAAAGTCTCTGAATACATCTCCAGAATGATTCTGATCACTAATGAGATGAAGGCGTGTGGAGAAACTCTTTCAGAAGAAACAATCATGGAGAAAGTATTGAGATCCCTTACTCCTCAATTTGATTACATTGTGGTAGCAATAGAATATTCCAAAGATCTGAGCACCATGAGAATTGAAGAGCTGCAGAGCAGTCTAGAAGCGCAAGAGTTGCGTTTGACTGAGAGAACTTTTGAAAAGGAAGTAAAGCAGCAGGCTCTGAAAGCAACTTCTGATAGGAGGTATCAGAAGCAGTCAGAAGCCAGGAGAAGATCTGATGGTGGTCAGAAGTCAGAAAGCTCAACCTCTGATAGACAAAAGAATGCTCAGAAGAGAAAAGAGAAGTATGACAAGAAGAAGATCCAATGTTACTGTTGTAAGAAGTTTGGTCACTTTGCTAGAGATTGTTGGTCAAACAAGGAGAAGAAATCAGAAGAAGCAAATATAACCAGAAGTTCTGATGACGAATCTGTGCTATTGATGGCCTCTGAATCTGATGATCTGACAGACTGGTGGTATATGGACACTGGCTGTTCAAATCATCTTACTGGAAACAAGAAATGGCTGGTTGACTTTGACTCTGAAAAAAGGACAAAGATCAGATGTGCTGATGACAAATATCTTAATGCAGAAGGTATGAGAAATGTCAGAGTGACTCTGAACAATGGGAAAACAACATTGATTCAGAACGTGTGGTATGTACCTGGCATCAGAAGCAATCTGATGAGTGTAGGACAATTAATTGAGAAAGGTTTTTCAGTTACCATGAAGGACAATCTTCTGAAGCTGTATGACTGCAATCAGAAGTTGATTATGGAGTCAGAACAGGGAAGGAATAGAACATTCAAGGTGAATGTCAGAACTGCAGACTCAGAATGTCTTAGTGCAACATGTGCTGAGAAGGAGAGTGAGTTGTGGCACAGAAGATTTGGTCATTTGAATTTCAGAAGTCTAAAACATCTAAATTCAAAAAAGCTGGTACATGGAATTCCTACAATTAAGAAGCCTGAAAAGTAATGCAAAATTTGCATGGAAGGAAAACAACCACGTTTGCCATTTGCGTCAGAAGTTGCTCCAAGAGCAAAACATGCCTTGGGAGTTGTACATTCTGATGTGTGTGGTCCATTTCCAGTAGCATCAATTGGAGGGAATAAATACTTTGTGCTATTTGTTGATGAATTCACAAGAATGACATGGGTATCCCTTATTAAGTTCAAACACGAGGTGTTTGATGAATTCAAGAAGTTCAGAATGAAGGCTGAGAATCAGAGTGGTCAGAAGTTGAAGATTCTTAGAACTGATGGTGGAGGTGAGTATAACTCCAAAGAGTTCCAGAAGTTCCGTGAGGAGAATGGAATTGAGCATGAGGTTACCGCTCCTTATACCCGTCAACACAATGGTCTTGCTGAAAGAAGAAACCGTACTTTGCTTGATATGGTGAGAAGCATGCTAAAGGAGAATAAGCTTCCTCAGAAGCTCTGGGGAGAAGCTGTTGCCACTGCAACGTATGTACTCAACAGATGTCCTACGAAGAAATTGAAGGAAATAGTTCCAATACAGAAGTGGACTGGAGATAAACAAAGTGTTAGTCATCTGAAGGTGTTTGGTTCTGTTTGCTATAAACATGTTCCAGAAGCCAGAAGACAGAAGCTGGATGATAGAAGCAAAGTGATGATTCTGATAGGGTACCACAGTACAGGTGCATACAAGCTCTATTGTCCAGAAACCAATAAAATTGAATTCAGCAGAGATGTGATTGTGAAGGAATCAGAAGTTTGGAATTGGGATAAGTCTCAATCTGATTCTGATGTTAGAACTTCTGAAGAAAGGTCAGAGTTAAGAATTTCTGAAGTTGAAGTAAACTCTGACGTTGATTCTGACTCTGATAGTGATTCTGACTCTGGAGAAGACTCAGAAGATGAAGGTGACTCTGATGATCCAGACTCTGATGGTAATCCAGATTCTGGTGGAAATTCAGACTCTGAAGATGGCCAAGACTCTGAAAATATGCCAGATCTTGAAGATGGTCAAAGCTCTAGAGGAAGTCAACCATCTGAAGCTGGAAACTATGAAGCTCAAGACTCTGAACAAGTTCAGAGACCACAAAGAATCAGAAGCGTTCCCAGAAGATTTGCAGAATTTGACATGCTGCAAGACACTGAAGTAGACTCTGAAGGAGAAGTTATTCAGTGTTCCATGTTAGTAGACTCTGAACCTATAAGTACAGAGGAGGCTCTTAAGCAGAAGCTCTGGCTGAAGGTCATGAAAGAAGAACTTGATGCTATAGAGAGAAACAAGACTTGGAAGCTGACAAAACTTCCAAAAGACAAGAAAGACATCAGCGCCACATGGGTTTTCAAGCAGAAGTTAAAGCCAAATGGCTCAATTGGCAAACATAAAGCAAGGTTGGTAGCCAGAGGATTTCTACAAAAACCTGGGCTGGATTACTCTGAAGTGTTTGCACCTGTAGCAAGACATGAAACAATCAGAATGGTGATTGCAATAGCTGCTAACAGGAATTGGCCTCTGATGCATTTAGATGTAAAATCTGCATTTCTGAACGGTCCATTAGAAGAAGAAGTTTACGTGTCACAACCTCCTGGATTTGTGAAAAAGAATCAGGAAGGGATGGTGTACAGATTATACAAAGCTCTATATGGATTGAAACAAGCGCCCAGAGCTTGGAATCAGAAGATTGATTCATTTTTCAAGAAGCAAGGTTTTCAGAAATGTGAGATGGAGTACGGTGTCTATGTTCAGCATACTTCTGAAGGCAATATGACTCTGGTATGTTTATATGTTGATGATATACTGCTGACTGGAAGTTCTGAACAGGAGGTAGCCAAGTTCAAGAAGGTTCTAATGAACGAATTTGAAATCACTGATCTAGGCAAAATGACATACTTTCTAGGGATGGAGTTCAGATATTCTGAGAAAGATATCATTTTGCATCAGCTCAAGTATGAATTAGAACTTCTCAAGAGATTTGATCTGAAGAATTGTAAGATGGCAGTCACACCTTCTGATACAAATCAGAAACTGGATTCAAACTCTGAAGGAAAGAATGTGGACGCCACAACCTTCAAACAGTTGGTTGGTTCTCTGAGGTATCTGTGCAATACCAGATCTGATATTTGCTACTCAGTTGGGATGGTTAGTAGGTTCATGAGTAAACCTAAGTGGTCCCATTATCAAGCTGTTGTCAAGATTCTGAGGTATATCAAGGGAACTCTGAAGTATGGAGTGTTATTTCCCTCTGGAGGACATAATGAGTCAGAACTTCTGAGTTATTCAGACTCTGATTGGTGTGGAGACAGAGTTGACAGAAGAAGTACATCTGGGTACTTGTTCAAATTTCTGGGAGGTTCCATTTCTTGGTGTTCCAAGAAGCAACCTGTTGTGGCGTTGTCAACCTGTGAAGCTGAATACATTGCAGATGCTGTTACTGCATGCCAAGCTGTGTGGATTCTGAATCTGTTGCAGGATCTGAAGATTAAAGTAGACAAACCTCTGAAGTTGATGATTGACAACAAGTCTGCAATCAATCTTGCCAGAAACCCAGTGTTGCATGGGAGAAGCAAGCATATTGAGACCAAGTATCATTTTCTGAGACATCAAGTTCAGAGTGGAGTGTTAGAAGTTGTACACTGCAGCACTCAGAAGCAGTTGGCAGATGTTCTGACGAAAGCTATCAAGACTGATCAATTTCTTAGACTAAGGGATGGAATTGGTGTTACAAGTTTTGATGGAATATGAATTAAGGGATGGTATTAGAATATTAATAGTAATTCATATTTATTTAGTTGTACTATTTTCTTAGCCCCTAAGTTTGTTAGAGGGTATTTTAGTATTTTATCTTATTCTAGTAACCCTAGTTTTAGCTCATAAATAGGGTGACAATCATTGTAACTTTTATCATGTTTTGTAGCCGTCATTCTTAATAGAATATTTCCTTTGTTCATCATTTATTCACCTTTGCACCAACAATAGTGTAGTTGACATGTCTGAGAAAACGAAAAAGCAAATGTACCTTGTAGTATATTTTAAGCTTTGAAACCTTGGATAAAGTGTGTCTTACGTAGCTTGCTTGAAAAGAGCATGGCCGGTTTCCGAGGATCTGTTAGTATGAAATCGAAAATATTGATTGCTTCTTGAAGGAAGCTAAAAGAGGTACTTCTCCAAAGGCCTTTCTTGAAGCCTTGCATAATTTTTGTTGTCCTTTTTATGTTGTTCCATGCTTTAATGTAGAAATTTGTCTGTTAGGACATGTGTGAGAGATGTACCTAGATTCTTGTTCTACAAAACAACCTTGAGATTGTGAAGGTATGGTAACACGTGAATGGCCAATGTGGGACATCGAGAGTCCTTTACACATGCTAATAGTTAAAGAATAAAACAGGAGATGATGTCGTTGGAGTCGAATGTTGGGGTTACATTGATAAAGGGACTGTCCTTATGTGGTGTTTTATAGCCTCAAGTGATTGCCTTATCAAAACATAAATAAAGTGATAACAGGAAAATAAAAGACCCTTAATCCAAACCTTATTATACATGATCAATGAAAAACACACACTTTGAATCTTTGATAGCATAAGTAGTCACTAACATAGACATACATAATAACTAAAACCTTATTATATGATTGTCATAAAAATAAGCAAGTAATCAGAAAATGATTGGAAATTAATTACAATCCATATATAATGAACGCTTTGATCTCTTCAAGCCCAGTACAACAAAAAGTATTCCAATGTAGTTTAAATTGTAAGCTTCTTCAAGTAGTTGAAACTTGGTAAGATTCCATGGAGGAAACCTGAACCAAAAATCAGTGTAGTAACTTCTCCTAGCCACATCTTTATAGTGACTGAACAAATCAAATGAGAACTTCCCATGATACTTGCCAAATCCACATTCACCAACTACTCCAAATGACAGGGTATCTGCCACATACTGCATAAAAATAAAGCTGACTGATCAGACTCTGTTTAGTAAAAATAGCGGTTAAAAAAAAACTCATCATCGTCTGAATACCTGTAGAATTGCATCATTGAATACAATACTTCCGGATGCTGTTTCAGATAATCTTTTCTGCAAAGTTTTGTTTTTTGTGAAGGCATAAATAGCTAGAGTTTTAGCCTTTGAGTTTATGAACATTGAAGCTTTAATCCAGGAAGTTAACAGCAGACTGCATTGAAGTTTTTTAAAGTATTTCCTATAAATATATGTCATAGTGTAGTTGACATGTCTTAGAAAACGAAAAAGCAAATGTACCGTGTATTATATTTTAAGCTTTGAAACCTTAGATAAAGTGTGTCTTAGGTAGCTTGCTTGAAAAGAGAGTGGTGACATTTATTGAAGATTTGACCAGAGCATAGCCGGTTCCCGAGAATCTATTAGTATGAAATCGAAAATATTGATTGCTTCTTGAAGGAAGCTAAAAGAGTTACTTCTCCAAAGGCCTTTCTTGAAGCCTTGCATTGAATATTAAAAAATTAGACATTCATAATTGAAAAACCATATATACTGAAAATAGACAAATGTCATTGCAAAATACTTTTCAACCAAAACATGTTTACTCAGCTAATAAAAGTCATAATAAACATGCTTTTAGGAAAAATAGCATGAATTGAAAAGTATCCTCCAACAATTGAAATATAACATCACTTTAAAAGTCAAAATAATAGCATGATTTGAAAACTCAGGTAAAAATCTTTTCAACAAAAGTAATAAATTCAAAAATTTTCCAAACTTGCAAAGTATGATGTCTTTGGAAAAAAAAGTATTGTGATAAACATGCCTTGAGCCAAAACCTGGAAGTGTTTATGTAATTATTAAAAATACTTTGTTTTAAAACCATATCAATATGCAAATTAAGTGTCAATTTAAACCATATACACACTAAGAGTAAATTTTTTAAACATATCAAAATATTAAGAAAGTTGCAGAATGTGAGGATAGATGTGGTAAGTTTCAAAGGACAGTTGGTAGAAATGATAATTGTATGCATAAAACTTGGAAGACTCATTATACAAAAAGTGGTTCATTAAACTTGGAACATTCATTACAAAAATAATAATCCATGATTTAATTTGTTCCAGCTAGATCAATAAGAAAACATTCAAAATGGCAGACCAAAGTAATAATATGGCTTAAGGTTTAGAATCAATCCATATTCAAATGGCGTCAACAAAATAATACAAAAGGCAACAAAATGAGAGGCTGGCAATGGTAAGGCCATAAAATCACTCTTTCTTTGAGTGTTTAGCTTTAGTTGTGGATTTCTTGGGAGTTACGACCTCATTCTGGAATAGGTTATCAAGAGATGCTGAAATTGAAACTCTCTTAGCAGGGGTGTTGTTGGAGCTAGTTGATGGACTCCAAGTTTGGTTGGCAGAGTTGGATGGTTGAGCAGAGATGGAATATTCACCACTTGGTGTCTTCTACACATAAATACAATAACAGTTAACATTTATGGACATAAATACAATACCAGTTGGTTGAATAGAGGATGATGTAAACAAATAAAGAAATAGTTATATATAACTGAGGGTATACAATAGGTGGGTCTTGAAGTTCCATTGTAATGGATGTGTCCAAGTTCAATTTTTCAGCATTTTAAGTATGCTGGAAAAAAAATTAAAAACTCATTATCCAATCATTAAGGATTATGCTGACCTAATCCATAATAGATGTAGTGGAAAGATATGGTATGTACCTCATCAGGGTTAAGCAAGTTGTTCAAGGTTTTGTAAACGTCATCATCCTTAATGAAGGTAACAATTGAGTATTGTTGAAAAAAAGATTAATACTTGACTCGAAATGCTAGTTCTTTGTTCAACAATTTGTCAAGCTGTGCTGGATATATTTTAGGGTTGTCCTCTCCAGCCTAGGGCAAAAGCATGGTTAGAATGTTAAATAGCATAATGTAACAGAAAAATGAAAATATTATGAAATGTTGGTTTTGAAGTACATACCTCCTTCATGAGTTGTCTTAACACTAAAGTTGTCATTTGAATGAAAGGGATACAATCCTTATCCCAAAACACAAAGCATCTAACATGGTTGTCATAGTCAACCTCAACTTCTATTTTGAATCTAAAACATGAAGAAAATAAAGTGACTTCAATTGAGTTCAGTTTATGAATACACATGAGGGCATATATGTATATTTGGATGATAACTTACTTAGTGATAGGTTCCACATCTTTCACTCCACAAATGCACTCAAAATTCTTTCCATGTGACTTGTTAGAGGTCTTGCAAGCAGGGCAAGACTCAAAATACCATCCAAACTTGGAAGCTTTGAATCTCTTTGTAGTGCCAATTGTCGTGGCAAAATAATTCTTTCCTAATTCATTGATATGACGAATAGTCTTGACCTCATTGGGGTTGATCCAACTTTTGTTTGTTGATTGAACAGATGAATCACATGTTTGGCTCAGAGAATGTGAGGATGCAGTTGATAGTTGTATTGAACCACCACTGTTATGCATTAAAAAATCAGAATTTTCTATCATAATGTGACAGAAGTAAAATGTTGTATAATGCTTCCACTGGTATGAAAGTTAGAATACAAAACTGTTATGCAATTGAACTACACAACTTTAATATGAGTTGGGTTACGAAATATGAAAAACTTACTACCTGGATTTCAAGCACTAAACTTGACATGTTTGAGACAAAAACTGAACAATGTATCACAATGACAAAGCAGGTCATACATCAAATAACAACTCAAAATAAAAACTCACAAAAATAACAGGGCAAAAACATGGCTCACAAAAATCTTAAGACTGATTTTTTAAAACTACTTCCATGACAGTAGATAGGAGTTATGATGATAAACACATGTAAAAAGACACAATGTGATGTGGGACAGTTTATGCATCATGTGAAAATATAAGTAAACTTGTTAAAAAAAACGTGAGACAATGGTGGTGGACATGTGAAATATTTGTGTCAAACTTATTGTAGGCCTTGAGTTCTTTAATATGTTGTGGTGATATTTTGAACACATGATGAAACACTAACCAAACAGAACACAAACCATTGTCAAAAAACACTGATGATAGAGAAACACTAACCAAACATAGTGAAATATTGTTGATATTTTAACATGAATAAGTCACAAAACAGAACACAAACACTCATATCTTGATGATGTTTTGAAAAAAACACATCCTTTTTAAAGTGATAAACTACACATGAGAAACCATTTTTTACTGTCAAACACTTCATAACAGTTGAATTTAAAACACACAATGTTGGTGGATCTGTCACAAAATAAACAATCATTTATGGTTGACAAACATTACCACATTCTAGACATATTGAATAAAATCGTGTTACATTGAACTAACCTTGCAAGAGAATGGAAGTTGGAAGAATGATTTCTTGAGAATCTACTATCTAATCTTGTAATGTATGCTGAGATGTAGTAGACACAAATGTTCTTGAAGTGAAAAGTGAGAGACTTAGTGAGCAAAATGAGGTTATATTGCATATTCAAAAATCGTTTTGGAGCGGTATGATGAACATGGAAATAGGGAGAAAACATTTTGTTTAAGTGCAACAAACCAGAAGATGACACGTGTGTTGTAATGAGGAGGATGGAGTGGTGAAATACTGTATTTTGTTAATTATTGAAAAACCATTTTAATAGTGTAAAGTTTTGTTACCATTTTAATAGTGTAAAGTTTTGTTGCTGAAAGGGTAAGAGAGACAATGCATTCAATAGTTTAGTATTAGTTAGATAGTAGATTAGACTCTACTTTTTGTTTTCTTCCAAAAAGCTATTAATAGTTTAGTATTAGTTAGATAGTAGATTAGACTCTACTTTTTGTTTTCTTCCAAAAAGCTATTTATAAAGTTGATATAAAAGTGAAATGTCATGGTCAATCAAATGCCTCACATAGTGTAATTTTTATGTTTCAAAAGGCCTGTGAAAAGCCACAATATATGAAAATTATTATGTACTTCACTATTTTTTTTTTGTATATACTCTATATTGGAAATAGTTATCATGTCATTATACATTATATCAAAGTTTATTGTTTAATATTATGATAGAGTCAAATGAGATTTGTAGTAATTAGCTTTCAAAAACCAAAATGTTTTTGATAAAGATAACATTTTACGAATTTCTTTTTAACATGCCATATTATTAATCTCTTTTTTTCAATATGCCATATAAGTCACCCATATATATTATTTTGCCATTGTTTCAAACAAAAAAACTTAAATATGTAGCCACTGCCGCCCAATGAAAGGGCGGAACTATTTAAAAATCACCTCTGCCACCCATTGAAAGGGTGACACTCTTAAAGTTTTTTTTGTTTTTTTGTTTTTTTTCTTCACGATATATATATATATATATATATATATATATATATATATATATATATATATATATATATATATATATATATATATATATATATATATATATATATATATATATATATATATATATATATATATATATATATATATATATATATATATATATATATATATATATATTAATATTACCAATGTTAATAATAATATAATTTAAATATTAATATTAATACAATTATAATATTAATATATATTAATTAATATTATTAATATTAATATATGTTGATAAACATAATTAATATTATTTAGTAAGAGATAATTATACTAATATAATTATTAATAGTATATTAGTAATTAATTTTATTATTAATATATTTATAATTAATATAGATTTTTAATGTAATTAACAATAAATAAACGAGTGTTAATAATAAAATTTTATTATTTTATTATTTTAATGCACTATCGACACTAGAATGGGCGGAATCCTTAACTATTTTATTATTTATGTACAGTGTCAGCATCTGAATGGGCAGAACCTTTTAATATTTTAATATTTTTGTACAGTGCCAGCAACTAAATGGGCGGAACTTTTTAGTATTTTATTATTTTTGTACAGTGCCGCACCTGAATGAGCATAACCTTTTAATACTTTAATATTTTTGTACAGTGTTGACACCTGAATGAGAACCTTTTAGTATTTTATTATTTTTGTACAGTGTCGGTACCTGAATGGTCGGAACTTTTTAATATTTTAATATTTTTGTACAGTCCCGCCAGTAATATAATTAGAGGTGTGGTGTGACATATTTTTC